TCCCGCTGTTGATTATTGACCGGAGAGGCGTCTCGGTCATGTCTGCATGTCTCCCGAACCCGTAGGGTCTACACACTTAAGGTTCGGTGATGCTAGGGTTGTTGAGATATTAGCATACGGTAACCCAAAAGTTGTTCGGAGTCTCGGATGAGATCCCGGACGTCACGAGGAGTTCCCGAATGGTCCGGAGGTGAAGATTTATATATAGGAAGTCAAGTCTCGGCCATCAGGAAAGTTTCGGGGGTAATCGGTATTGTACCGGGACCACAGGAAGGGTCCCGGGGGTCCACTGGGTGGGGCCACCTATCCCGGAGGGCCCCATGGGCTGAAGTGGGAGGGGAACCAGCCCCTAGTGGGCTGGTGCGCCCCCCTTGGGCCTCCCCCTATGCCTAGGGTTGGAAACCCTAGGGGTGGGGAGCGCCACCCTTGCCTTGGGGGCCAAGGCACCCCCTTGGCCGCCCCCCCCTAGGCACCCAATATATAGTGGGGGGGGAGGGAGGGCAGCCACACCCAAGCCCCTGGCCTCTCCCTCTCCCTCCCGTGACACTCCTCCGTCTCCCTGCGCTTGGCGAAGCCCTGCCGAGATCACCGTTGCTTCCACCACCACGCCGTCGTGCTGCTGGATCTTCATCAACCTCTCCTTTCCCCTTGCTGGATCAAGTTGGAGGAGACGTCTTCCCAACCATACGTGTGTTGAACACGAAGGTGCCGTCCGTTCGGCACTTGGTCATCAGTGATTTGGATCACGTCGAGTACGACTCCATCAACCCCGTTCTCTTGAACGCTTCCGCGCGCGATCTACAAGGGTATGTAGATGCACTCCTCTCTCCCTCGTTGCTTGATGACTCCATAGATTGATCTTGGTGATGCGTAGAAAATTTTAAAATTCTGCTACGTTCCCCAACAGTAGCCGGTAGTGTCGGATAGATATACGAGAACTTGTTGTTCGACCAATCTCTTGGAGAAGGAGAGGTGGTCGATATCACTTCTCTCTGTATGCATATATGTTCATGACGATCTTCTATTTCCTTTGTTTGCTTACTAGCTAGCTAGCGTGTCTAGTCCTCTCTATACGTATGTATAGTACGTAGCGTCGACCAAGCACGGACATAACAGAGGACACTTCTCTCTATTACTTATAGCTAGCTAACACAATATATGAAACACCTAAATTTACCCCCCCCCCCAAACCCCCAAACCCCCCCCTTTAAAAAAACAAAAACCCCAGCCACAGAAATGCTGACGCGTGGATGCCTATTGGTCCCAGTTGGTGCCACCAACCGGGACCAAAGGCCCTCCTGCCTGGGCTCCGCGCACAGGCCACGTGGAGGCCCATCTGTCCCTGTTCTGGATTGAACCGGGACTAAAGGGACAGGGCATTAGTACCGACTCTTTAGTCCCGGTTCAGGAACCGGGACAAAAGGCCCTTACGAACCGGGACAATAGGCCCTTTTTCTACTAGTGTATGGGAAGGATTAATGATGTTCTTATTGTTGCAAATAGGAATTATGTGCCGCAGATTTCGTTGTTCTTGATATAGATTGCCACTTGGGCCCCTCGCAGCTCCACCGACCTACTTCTTTCGCCTATATATACTCTTATACCCTGAAACCTTCGGGGAGAGACACAAAACACCTTTTCCACCGCTGCAACCTTCTATACCCGTGAGATCCCATCTTGGGGCCTTTTCCGGCGCTCCGCCGGAGGGGGATTCGATCATGGGGGCTTCTACATCAACACCATAGCCTCTCCGATGATATGTAAGTAGTTTACAACAGACCTTCGGGTCCATAGTTATTAGCTAGATGGATTCTTCTCTCTCTTTGGATCTCAATACAAAGTTCTCCTCGATTCTCTTGGAGATCTATTCAATGTAACTCTTTTTGCGGTGTGTTTGCTGAGATCCGATGAATTGTGGGTTTATGAACTTGATATCTATAAATATTATTTGATTCTTCTTTGAATTCTTGTATACATGATTTGATATCTTTGGAAGTCTCTTCGAATTATCGGTTTAGTTTGGCCTACTAGATTGATCTTTCTTGCAATAGGAGAAGTGCTTAGTTTTGGGTTCAATCTTGCGGTGCTCGATCCCAGTGACAGAAAGGGAAACGACATGTATTGTAATGTTGCCATCGAGGATAAAAAGATGGGTTTTATATCACATTGCTTGAGTTTATCCCTCTACATCATGTCATCTTGCCTAATGCGTTTCTCCGTTCTTATGAACTTAATACTGTAGATGCATGCTGGATAGCGGTCGATGTGTGGAGTAATAGTAGTAGACGCAGAATCGTTTCGGTCTACTTGTCACGGACGTGATGTCTATGTTCATGATCATTGCCTTAGATATCATCATAACTATGCGCTTTTCTATCAATTGCTCGGCAGTAATTTGTTCACCCACCGTAATAAATGCTATCTTGAGAGAAGCCACTAGTGAAACCTATGGCCCCGGGTGTACTTTACATCATATAAGTTTCCAATCTATAATTCTAGTTTACTATTTATTTTGCAATCTTTATTTTACAATCTATACCATAAAAATACCAAAAATATTTATCTTATTATCTTTATCAAATCTCACTTTTGTAAGTGGCCGTGAATGGATTGACAACCCCTTTATCGCGTTGGTTGCAAGGTTCTTGATTGTTTGTGCAGGTACTAGGTGACTTGCGTGTAGTCTCCTACTGGATTGATATCTTGGTTCTTAAAAACTGAGTGAAATACTTACACTACTTTGCTGCATCACCTTTTCCTCTTTAAGGAAAAACCAACGCATGCTCAAGAAGTAGCACCTAGTCACCTGTCTGGCCAAATGATGACAGATGCCGTCACACAGAGAGAGCCCTAAAAATATCTCTCCCTCATCCGAGAATCAAATCTCACTTTCGATCTATCTAGTCCCTTGTCAAACTTTCATCGTGTTACAGAAGATGTTGGAGCAACCCCAAAGCGATCAAATCTCACTCTCACTATCGATGGCTTCAAGACACGCAACAACGGTCGTCGTAAACCAGATTAAAACATACAAAGAAGATTCTTCTATATGCTGCCTGTCCGATCTTCTTTGCATGATTGCATCAGGCGCTGCCATGATATGCGCTGGCAACATCAAATATATATCAAACATATAGGAGGGAGCACAATAGAATCAAGAACTAGTCACACGTTTCCTTCCCCATAATCAGGGGCGATTCTACTGGGGGGCTTTAACAGGCTCAAGCCCCTCATCCAGCACTGTAAAATTTGTTTTTACTACTAGTTTTAAGGCCCAGCCCAACTACTTGCAGGCCCAATCCAACACATATTTGCATGACCCAGGCAGCCCAGCCCGCCCTCCATTTTTTTCTAGATTCGCCATTGGCCATAATCAAGCACTTGCCAGCAACCGCGAATCTATGAATGCAACTTGCACCAGCCAAGATGGGAATGGGCCGACCCGGACCTGGCCTCATGGCCCCAAGGTCAACATGTGAGGCCGTAGGTCGGCCCATTTCATAAAAAAATTATGGCCTTAGTAACCCGTTGGGTACATGAGGCCCATCCAAGTTCAAGACGCAAAATTCATGTATCCAGTGTGCTTAATCTGAAGACCGGAAAGGCCACCAGAATGGCAAGTTGGACAAGTCGGAGGGATGGCGAGCTCGCCGGGGACTGAGACGACGAACAATAGGCTGGTTGTTTCTACATGCATGTACTAGTTCACGTATGTAAGAATTGATCCACCTGTCAGTCTGCTTGCTCGTTTACAAGGGCATCTCCGGCCGAATTGGTCAGCTTCGTACGTATATGATCATATATGTTCTTGTGTATGTGATCGAGTTTGCGTACAGGGACGGCCAACAACGAACGACTAGGCATTGTGTTGGTGAACCTATGGAATTCTCGGCTAATAGATCGCTCTGTTGTGGCCCCCATTCTAGATGAGATTGCAGAGCTTTCCTCAGATTTTGATTTTTTTGTACTTCAACATGTAATAAGAACAGCCAATTGCCGGCTTATCTGTGTGCTAAGCGAGCTTGCACACTCATGGCTACCAACAGTTGCCCGAATTCCACTCCTTCGTTTCTGGTGAGCAGTCTTCTAGCAGACTCTTCCAGAAGTGCCTTTGTTTTGTGTGCTAAGCGAGCTTGCACACTCATGGCTACCGACGGTTGCGTGAATTCCACTCCTTCGTTTCTGGTGAGCAGTCTTCTAGCAGACTCTTCCAGAAGTGCTTTTGTTGAATAAAGCTCTCATGATTTCCCTCAAAGAAAAAAAAAATGAACGACTAGGCATAGGGATTCAATTGCGTCGACCCATCGGGTCGCACGATGCCGGCTCCATTAACCTATTTATCATTTAAGCCCAACCCGCTTGGCCCATTGGCCTCGACTTCTTGGGCCGGGTCAGCGACCGGGCAGGCCGACCCCCCGACCCGCTTGGCCCATTGGCCTCGACTTTTTGGGCCGGGTCAGCGACCCGGCAGGCCGACCCGGCGTAGTCCCATCTTGATGCACGAGAAGAAAAATGGTGTCGCTAGTACTCAAAAAGAAAGAAGCAAAATGGTGTCGCTAAGGAAAAAAGAAAAGAAGGAGCAGATACGGTGGGGCATCAGTACGGAAACAAACCGATGGGTACGGGAAATGGAAAAATAGATACAGTAGACGATGGGCTATCTGTAATGGAAAAAATATACAGTTTTTCTAAAGCATCACGTCTAGACGTGGCATAAATATTGCAAACCTAAGTATGTCATTGATCATATGCAGAGATTCGTATGGGTATTTTTTTTCTTTTCTTTCTTTCATGCTTTTTTTTTGAGAATTTCTTTTTTTCATGCTTGATTGAGTAATGCAATGGGTATTGTCAATCGGTAGGGAAAACCAGAATGGGAAACGAACGGACGTACGACCTTCCATCTTCCGAAACTGAGCAAATGAGAGTTACTACCCTGCCGGTGATCGTCGCCCTTCATAAATAGGGCAGCTGCGCACTACGTAGAGTCGATCAACAGCATGGCCTCGTCAGGCTCTCTCCTTCCCTCCCTGCTGGCGTTGCTCCTGCTCCAGGTCGCCGCCACTGCGTCGGCGGCGACTACGACGAATTTCGTCCGGGCGGCCGACCTCGCCGAGCGGCTGGAGGGAGCGGTGACGCGGCAGTGCTGGGAGGCGCTGCTGGACATCAGGTCGTGCACGGGGGAGATCATCCTCTTCTTCCTCAACGGCGAGGCGTACCTGGGGCCCGGCTGCTGCCGCGCCATCCGCGTCATCGAGCAGCGCTGCTGGGCCGCCGACCTCATGCTGTCCGTCATCGGGTTCACCCCGGAGGAGGGGGACATGCTCAAGGGCTACTGCGACGCGGGCGACGACGACAACGGGCCTCACCATAGCGCAGGCGGATCATCTCCGGCCCCGCCGCCTCATCGTGCTCTTGGCGCCGACGGCGTTGCAAGTGGCGGCACCGTGGCCGCCGTGGCGGGAAGGAAAGGGCTCGGTTCGCCGTTAGGCTGAGTAGTACTACTAGTATGCAGTGTGTGTCCACGTCCAGACGTCCTTCCACATAGGTTCTCGTGGGTCCTGCCACGCTTGTTGCGAAGCTTGAAGGCGAGTGGTTTCTCTGCGTTTTGTTCGTGTAACCAAATCGAGTTGCCTATTGCTAACCCCAGCAAATTAATAAGATCCAATAATATTTATGTAATGAAAGGTGTACTGTTAGTACTAGTTTACATCATATTAATGTGTTGATTTTCTCTTGAAGTAACATTTTGAGCAACAAAATTTTGATTTCAAACGTGACACCCAATCAAAATCACGGACTTGACATGGTAAAAATTAAAGTCGCTGGGCAAGGCACGTTCAATTGTTCAAACCAAACCGTGCATAGTCTACACAAGCGTGGTAGAGCAGCCAACAGCCTGTCTCTGTTACGCTCAATTTACCTAGCCGGGGGGAGGGGGTGGATAGGTAGGGGCATAGGAGCCGTTGGAGTAGTTCTTCCTAAATCTCCAGTCCATCGGCGCTACAATTTATTCTTCCTTCACCCCCAATCCATCGATACTTCATTTTATGTAGCCTAGGTGGTGTCACGCAAGTGTGTGAAGAGTCGTGCCATTCTTCTCTAGCGTTAGCGTCTTGTGGTGTTTTGTAGTTAGGCCTAGGTTCCTCCCTCCTTCGACGGTGGCTTCACACGAGAGAGAAAAACTCTCTCCCGACGTCCTCCCGAAGGTGGCACGGGGCGACCTAGAGTTTATCACACATTGTTGAATCTCAATGTAATTATCATGGCTGATTAATGAAAAGTTCCAAGTATGTTTGGTTTATGCCCAAGGTTGTCCACCAAAGAATTGGCTAGCCAAAATTTTGGTTGCCAATGATTTGGCCAAGCAAGAAAAATAAACTAGAGTTGGCTAGACTTCATTGGCATGCCCAAAAAAAGGCAACAATTCAAAAGACCAATCTTTGGGTCATGACCAAAATTTTGGTAGGACGCACTTTGGCAACAATCGAAACACACCCTTCCTTTCTCGCAAAAAAAGCTAACTCGATGGGACCTAGAGTCCACCACGCTATCACCCCCTTCCTCCCTCCACCGTCGCCACCATCGGAGACTGCCTCCGCCATGCCTAAGGAGGGGGAGAGGAGCAGGTGGGCAGGTACCCTATGGCGGTGGGAGGGGGGTTGCCGCGCGTCACTAGTAGAAAACGGGCCTATTGTCCCGCTTCGTAAGGGCCTTTTGTCCCGATTCCTGAACCGGGACTAAAGGGTTGGTACTAATGCCCTGCCCCTTTAGTCCCGGTTCAATCCAGAACCGGGACAGATGGGCTCCACGTGGCCTGTGCGCGGAGCCCAGGTAGGAGGGCCTTTGGTCCCCGTTGGTGGCACCAACCGGGACCAATAGGCATCCACGCGTCAGCATTTCTGTGGCTGGGGTTTTTGTTTTTTTTGAAAGGGCACTAGTAGAAAATAGGACTTTGGTCCAGGCTGGGTCAGCCCATTAGTCCCGGTTCGGTCCAGAACCGGGACCAATGGGGGCATTGGTCCCGGTTCGTGAGCCCAGGGGGCCGGCCGGGCCACGTGGGCCATTGGTCCCGGTTCATCTGGACCTTTTGGTCCCGGTTGGTGGGACGAACCGGGACCAATGGGCCTCGCTCCTGGCCCACCACCATTGGTCCCGGTTGGTGGCTTGAACCGGGACCAAAGGCTCCCCTTTAGTCCCGGTTCATGCCACTAACCGGGACCAATGAGGTGCCTATATATACCCCCTCGCGTAAGAGCAGAGCACACTGCTCTGTTTTTTTCTGGCCGAGGGGGAGAGGGCTTGGTGGTGCTCTAGCTCACCTCCTATGCACACAAGGTGTTCGATGGAATGCCCGAGCCACACTACTTAAGCTTTCTCCTCTCCAAGCTCGACCTCCAAACTCCATTTTCCACAATATTTGTCTAGGTTTAGCGGTCCGTCACGGCCCGTCCCCGTCTTCACCGCCGTCGATCACCCGCGCCGAGCTCATCGCCGGCACCACCGTGGTGAGTCTCTTGTTCTTATCTTCTTTCTGAAAGGAAAAATATTCTTACTTGTATGTTTACAAAGATACTTGTATGTTTACATAGATACTTGTATTATTTTCTTACTTTTATTATTGCATCTTATATAGTGCGATGGTTTTGGTATCCGCCCCCGTCGGCCCTCGTCCTGTCTATGATTCAGATGTGGTATATATATATTATCTTTATAACTATTGGTTCATTTATTGTTTATGAAAATTATGCCGACCAACGTGACATAGATTTTATTTATGTAGGATGTATGTGAATCGAAAATGCCAACCGACCCTATTGTCGAGAGGTTAAATTTAATTGAAGAAGAAAACAATTTGTTGAAGGAAAAAATAAAAAAAATTGAGGAGGAGAAGATGATATTGGAGTTGCATGTTGCGGATGTCGTCGATGATCACAAGATCAAGATGGATGCAATGCGCTTGAAGATTAGAAAGATTAGAAAATATGCCATTCATACCGAGGCTTGGTATCATTATGCCGTTGGATCAATTGTTACCTTGGTTGCGATTATGATGGCGTTTGTTTTCGCATTGAAATGTTTTACATAGTTTCAATGTATGGTTTAATTAATTAGATGTTTTGTAGAGCTATATGTTGTTAGATGAGAACTATGTATGCACTTTGGTTTTAATGTGATGATGAACTTCTATTAATTTGGAAACTTAATTATATATAGTGCACGCAGATGAACCGGCAATGGATGTACGGTGACAGACACACCTGCGAGTACATTAAGGGCGTGCATGAGTTTCTTGATGCGGCTGAGGCAAACAAGCAGAATGGTTTTATGTGTTGTCCATGCACTGAATGTGGGAATACGAGGTCTTATTCTAACCGGAAAATCCTTCACTCCCACCTGCTTTACAAGGGTTTCATGCCACACTATAATGTTTGGGGGAGGCACGGAGAAATAGGGGTTATGATGGAAGACGGCGAAGAACAAGAGTACGATGACAACTATGTGCCCCCTGAATACGGTGATGCTGCAACGCGGGGAGCTGGTGAAGATCAAGAGGAATCAGACGATGTGCCCAATGATGTTGCAAAGGGTGAAGCTGCTGAAGATCAAGAGGAGCCAGACGATGTGCCCGATGATGATGATCTCCACCGGGTCATTGTCGATGCAAGGACACAATGCGAAAATCAAAAGGAGAAGCTGAAGTTCGATCGCATGTTAGAGGATCACAAAAAAGGATTGTACCCCAATTGCGAAGATGGAAACACAAAGCTCGGTACCGTACTAGAATTGCTGCAGTGGAAGGCAGAGAATGCTGTGTCTGACAAAGGATTTGAGAAGCTGCTGAAAATATTGAAGAAGAAGCTTCCAAAGGATAACGAATTGCCCGACAGTACATACGCAGCAAAGAAGGTCGTATGCCCTCTAGGATTCGAGGTGGAGAAGATACATGCATGCCCTAATGACTGCATCCTCTATCGTGGTGCATACAAGGATCTGAACGCATGCCCGGTATGCGGTGCATTGCGGTATAAGATCAGACGAGATGACCCTGGTGATGTTGACGGCGAGCCCCCCAGGAAGAGGGTTCCTGCGAAGGTGATGTGGTATGCTCCTATAATACCACGGTTGAAACGTCTGTTCAGAAACGAAGAGCATGCCAAGTTGATGCGATGGCACAATGAGAACCGAAAGAAAGATGGGAAGTTGAGAGCACCCGCTGACGGGTCGCAGTGGAGAAAAATCAGGAGAAAGTACTGGAATGAGTTTGCAAAGGACCCAAGAAATGTATGGTTTGCTTTAAGTGCGGATGGCAATAATCCTTTCGGGGAGCAGAGCAGCAAACACAACACCTGGAGAAGGAGTTGGACCTCTTTATAAGAGATTGTTTTCCACATGCTATTGGAGCTTGAGAAGAGAAGAGGCCCTTGCGCGCTCCTCTTTCACCGCCCACCTCGCCACTCCACGACGCGCCGCGCCACGGGTTGCGGGATTGAGCCGAGCCGAGCTCACACCTACACGCTTATTTTTGCCAGTCACTAACGGAGAGTTTCTGACTGCTGGACCACGATCTGAGACGTCGGATCATGGGCTGTCATGGACTCGGACATGGGTCGAGGCCACGTCTTTTCACGCGGCTGTGCCTATATAAATGTGGGGTGTCTCCAAACCCTAGCCGCCATGATCAGATCGCATCTGCTCATGCGCACGCCCGCCCTTGTTCTTTTGCTGCTGCTGCCCACTAGTAGAAAAGGGGGCAAAGGTCCAGGCCGGGTCAGCCCATTAGTCCCGGTTCAGTCCAGAACCGGGACCAATGGGGGCACTGGACCCGGTTCGTGAGCCCAGGGGGCCGGCCGGGCCACGTGGGCCATTGGTCTCGGTTCGTCTGGACCTTTTGGTCCCGGTTGGTGGGACGAACCGGGACCAATGGGCCTCGCTCCTGGACCACTATCATTGGTCCCGGTTGATGGCTTGAACCGGGACCAAAGGCTCCCGTTTAGTCCCGATTCATGCCACCAACCGGGACCAATGAGGTGCCTATATATACGCCCCCGCGTAAGAGCAGAGCACACTGCTCTGTTTTTTCTGGCCGAGGGGGAGAGGGCTTGGTGGTGCTCTAGCTCACCTCCTATGCACACAAGGTGTTCGATGGAATGCCCGAGCCACACTACTTAAGCTTTCTCCTCTCCAAGCTCGACCTCCAAGCTCCATTTTCCTCAATATTGTCTAGGTTTAGCGGTCCGTCACTCCCCGTCCCCGTCTTCACCGCCGTCGATCACCCGCGCCAAGCTCATCGTCGGCACCACCGTGGTGAGCCTCTTGTTCTTATCTTCTTTCTGAAAGGAAAAATATTCTTACTTGTATGTTTACATAGATACTTGTATTATTTTCTTACTTTTATTATTGCATCTTATATAGTGCGATGGTTTTGGTACCCGCCCCCGTCGGCCCTCGTCCTGTCTATGATTCGGATGTGGTATATATATTATCTTTATAA